ATGTATATGTATATACATATATTTTTTATAATTTTTTTTTTTCTGTACTGGGGTTTGAACTGAGGGCCTACACCTTGAGCCACTCCACCAGCTAGGGTCTCGAGAGATATTTGCCAGGGCTGACTTCGAACCATGATCCTCCTGATTAGCTAGGATTACAGGCGTGAGCCACCACACCTGGTAGAATAGTTTTTTCAACAAATGACATTTGGGCAATTGGGTATCCACCTATAAAAGAATTTAATTGGACACCTACCTCACACCATATACAAAATTATCTTAAAATAAGCCAGCATAGTGGTACAGACCAGCAATCCCAGTACTTTGAAGGTTGAGGTAGGAAGATCATGAGTTTGAGGCCAGCCTAGGCTACATGACAAGTTCCAGACCAGCCTGGCTACACAACAAAACAAACAAACAACAACCAAAAAACACAGAATGCTGTTAGTATAAGTACACATGTAAGTCGGTCACTGATGGCTCAGGCCTATAATCCTAGCTACTTGGAAGGCTAATATCAGGAGGATCATGGTTCAATGCCAGCCCAAGCAAATAGTACTCAAGACCCCATCTCCAAAATAACCAAAGCAAATAATGGACTAGAAGCATGCTCAAGAGATAGAGAACCTGCTTTGCAAGTATGAAGTCCTGAATTCAAACCCCAGTCCTACCAAAAAACAAAACAAACAAAAACTAGATACATAGACCAGTGGAACAGTCTAGAATTAAACCCATTCATCTATAACCAACTGATCTTCAACAAAGATGCTAAGAACATAGGACAATCTCTTTAATAAATGGTTGTTCCCACAACCATTTTCCCAATTGGATATCCAGATGCAGAAGAATGAAACTAGACCCCTATCTCCCACTATTTAAAAAACATCCACCCAAGAAGACTGTAAAGACTTAAATGTAAACTCAAAAGTATGAAACTACTAGAAGAAAACAGGTGAAATGCTTCAGGATATTGGAATGAACAAGATTTTTTTGTAAAAGATCACCAAAGCACAGGAAACAAAGCAAAAATAAACAAATGGGCTTACCAACAAAGTAAATAGCTACAGAAGGGGAGAAAATATGTGTAAATTATGCAGCCAAAAAGGGGTTACTATGCAGAACATAAAAGTAACTCGACTCAATACCAAAATAAACCAAACAATTTAATTAAAAATAGGCAGTAGACATAAATAGACATTTCTCAAGAGAAGATGTATAAATGGCCAATAGATATATGAAAAAATGCTCAATGTGACTAACCACCAGAGAAATGCACATCAAAACCACAATGAGATATCACCTCATTCCAGTTAGAATGACCACTATCAAAAAGACAAATGATAACAAGTGCTTGTAAGAATGTGGAGAAAAGGGAACTATTACACAATATTGATCCCATAAACAGTCAGGAGTAGCTATACTCATATCTGACAAAGTAAACTTCAGACTAAAATCAATCAGAAGAGACAATGAAGGTCACTTAATATTAATATTAATGAAAGCCAAAATAATATAATGTGGAGGTTCCTCAAAAAAATAAGCTGGGCATGGTTGCTCAAGTTTGTAATCTTAGCTAATTGGGAGACAGAGATCGGGGCCAGCCAGGACCCCATTTCAATCAATGGCTGTGCATGATGGCTTGCATCTGTCACTTCAGCTACCCAGGAAAGCACAAATAGAAAGACTGCAGTCCAGGCTAGCCTGGGCATAAAGAGAGATCCTATCTCAGAAATAACCAATGCAAAGAGGGCTGACAGCATGGTTCTAATAGCCCTGGCCTAGCAGGTTCAAGGACCTGAGTTCAAACCCAGTCCCACAAAAAAAATAAATAAATAAAGTTTTAGGGTTCATTGGCACATGGCCTGTGGTCCCAGCTACTTGGGAAACTGAGGGAGGAGTACAACTTGAGCCCAGAAGTTCTGTGCCATCCTGGGGGACATATTGAGACTCATAGCTCAAAAAAACTCATCTCTCAAGAAAAATAGGAATCATTTAAAAATATAAAAATACAAATAGAACGGTGATTTTTTTTTTTTTTTAAGATGGGGAAGACCAGGGAAGGAGTTGGAAAGAAAGGAGGAATGTTGTTTTAGACAAGGTAAGTTTGAAATACCCACTAGACATCTTCATGGATTTATTAAGTGAGCAATTGGAGATATTAATCTATAGTTCAGGGGAGAGATCTAGATTGGGGACACAAAATTGAGGAAAAACAAATTAATACATATAAATGTTAGTACTTATATGTTTAGAATAACAGTCAATTATTCCAACACAAGTTGTAGAATCCCTTCCCCTCTGATTTGTGATGCCACCTATCACACACAATTTTCCTTGCATATTAAAGGTCAATATCTATCATTGCATTGTACTGGGGTTTGAACTCAGAGCTTCATGCTTACTAGGCAGATAGTCTACCACCTGAGCCACTCCTCTAGCCTTTTTTGTGTTGAGTATTTTTGAGATAGAGTCTCTTGAACTATTTGCCTGGGGCTCTCTTTGAACTCTGATCCTCCTGATCTCTGCTCCTGAATAGTTAGGATTACAGATATAAACCACCAGCCCCTGGCTCATTGCGTTCTTTTTAAAGTAGGAATTGTTTTAGGAGAGAGTAGACTGGAAGCTAAATTTTCCTCAGCTTTTCTCAATTCACAAAAACATAAGTGATTTTTTTTTTTTTATACCTGTTTCACTTTATACTCTAGGCAGAAATCAACTGAACTTTTCCTACCAATCAGAGGGTTCCGGGAGGATGCATTAGATTCTAGGCAGGAAGTTCAGAAAACCGAGTAACAGAAAGCTGCAAAAGAAGAGAGGTTGGGCACCTGCGTAGGAAGCTTAAGGCCCTGGGTTCAAACCCCAGTCTCACCAAAACACACACACACACACACACACACACACACACACACATACACACACAAAAGGAAGAACAGAGATTCCATGGATAATTTTTTTGAGTCATTCTGCCAGCCCTGATGGGTAATATTTTAAGTCAACTCTCCTTATAATTTGCTCCATTTAAAGTTTTTAGCTGGGCACTGGTGGCTCATGCCTGTAATCCTAGATACTCAGGAGGCAGAGATCAAGAGGATGGCAGTTAGAAGCCAGCCCCGGGCAAATAATTCCTTGAGACCCTATCTGAAAAAAAAAAACCTTCACAAAAAAGGGCTAGAGGAGTGGCTCAAGGTGAAGCCCCTGAGTTCAAGCCCCAGCCCCACAAAATAAATAAATAAAATAAAATAAAAAATAAAAAGTTTTTAATTGTACTTTAAAAAACCCACATAATATTTACCATCTTAACCATTTGATAATTTTTTGAATACAGCCTTTGTATTTGATGATTCCCTGAAAATCTTCTCAAGGATATTTTCTCATAATTCAACTCCTGGTTTAAATGTTACTTTCCCAGCAGGTGAGGTAGCATAATCCCAGCACTTGAGAGTCTGAGACAGGAGGATCCTGAGTTCAAGGACAGGTTGGGCTATATAGCGAGACCTTGTCTCACAAAACAAAGCAAAACAAAACCACAGTTACTTTCTCAAAAAAGGCCTTCTGGGAACACTAGGGGTAGTTTCTTCCCTACTTTTAGTTATTTTATGTCCCATTACCCTGAGGCAAGCGCTCTTCACTTTCTAAAACACTTGTGTTTATTGGTTTATTGCCTTTTATCCTTCAACACTATGAATTCTGCCAGAGGAGGGACTGAAGCTGTCCACTCTTCTCCACACGACCAGTGCTTTTCACACGGTATGTTCTATTACAAAAAAACTTTTTGGCGGTACTGAGGTTTGAACTACGTGCCTTGAGCAAGCGCCCTAGCACATAAGCCACGCCCCTAGTCCTTTTCGTTTTAGTTTATTTTTCAGGTAGGGTCCTGCGTTTGTGCCCAGCTGGCCTGGACCATGATCCTTCTACTTACACTAAAGGCAAAGCCAGGATAACAAGCGCACCATCACGGCCAGCTTTTTTTAATGACTGAGATGGGGGACTCGCACCAAGTTTTTGCCCAGGCTGGCCTCGAATTAGGATCCTCCCCATCTCCACCTCCTGAGTAGCTAGGATTACAGGCGTGAGCCACCACCGGCCAGCTATGTCCTACTAAATTTTGTTAATATACTTGCTGAATAATGCAATACTTCCCCCGACCTCCATACTGGGAATCCAACCTAGGGCTTCTCACTGAACCACACTCCCAATCCTAGAATGCTTTTTAAAAATTGCTAATTGCTAAGTAATTTCATATGTCATTTGATATTACAACTTTTGAGTAAAATGAGATTGCTCCCTCATTGTACATACAGTCTCACAGAATCATCTCACTCAAGGTCATTGCTCTTGTAAAACAACACCACCTGAGATGCAGTACAGTTGAACTACTTTTTCCAATATATTCACTCCATTTCTAGTGCTAAGGGATTTTAAACTACTATGCCATTAAGGAAGTACTGAACCTGAGTAGTAGTAGAAACAAACAGCACATTCTTTAAAAAGTAGACAGTTTCTGGGGTTGAACTCTTACCACCACCTTCCTCCTTCCCCACCTCACTCCAAATACAAGCCATACAGTCACACACAGCAGAGATTGTAGCTACAATGATAATACTGAAGTGTACAGAAGAAAATACAATTTATTCACCTGTTTGGAATCTTTGCCTAGGTATAAAGTTTTTAAAGTGTGCTCCTTGAGATAATCTCATTCCCTAGAATATTTGCTTCACTTTTTGGATCTCCATCACTACAGGCATCTGTAAAGATTACCTTTCCTTTTTTTCTTTCTCCCTCTCCCTCCAGCCTCTACAACCGTGCACGTGTAACCCGTGTGTACAGAACTAGCTCAGCCTTTAACGCAGGCTCTGACCACGGTAAGCCCCGCCCCTCGGCCCCTTTCCAACGCAGCCCCACTAATCTCGCCCCTCCCACCTCCGGCTTCTCGCGAGAGGTGAGCGCGCCTGGCCGGACGGGAGGAAAGTATCTGCTCCGCTGAGGGGGGGAAAGGAGGAGCTGGAGACAGATTGTAGGCTCGAGCGCGGGCGGGCGGGAGGCGACGGAGCTACCAGCGGGTGAGTCCTGTTAACATTAGCAAGTCTATGATCTGACAGGAGTCTCCCCTTCAACTCTGACCAGTCCCGGCGTCTCGGGGCAAGGTCTCCCCTCCCAGTCTGTGTTGGACGGGGGCGCTGAGGCGGTGGCCGGGCCGTGTCTGAGGAAGAGGGTGGGGCATAGACTAAAGTTAACCAATAAGAGAGAAGGATCCCAAGATTGGCGGCGATGAGCACTAATGGGAGATCGCTTTACCTGCGGAGTGCCGCCCTCCTCTCTCTCCTCCCTCCTCCTTCCTTTTGGGGAAGGCGGGGCCAGAGAGGCCTGAAGTGTGGGGAGAACTTGGGGTAAGTAGCCCCGGGGGGCACAGGGCGTGGCAAGGAGAGGGGAATTGAATCTTGAGGGAAGAGTAGTTTAGTGGAGTCTAATGTGGAAGAATCATGGAATGTGAAAAAGAGGAGAACTTGTAAACTAGGTTGAAAACTCAGGCTTTCTAAAGAGTAGAGTTAGGGGCTTGGCATTGGAAATGGCAGGGGTAATAGGCAAGAGAGGTATGAGTAGGTGAGAAGGACCTTGATTAGGTGAAAACATGCGTTTGTGTTTGGCTGGGAAGAAGGTGTAGGGGTAGATCATTGGAAATGAAAGTCATGGCATTTAAGTTGCATTATCAGAGAGAAGGTATGGAGTTGGAAAAATTAAGTCAGTGAGTACAGAAGACACTGTGGGTGGGTTGGCTTTGGGAATAGTTGGTATGGGGTTAAGGGAGGTGTTTGGAAAGGACACAGCTGATATATGCAGGTTGTTAGCCTAGGTATGGAAGGGAGGCTGGGATGGATGTTGAATTAGGGATTCTGGTGGATATGACACCCAGTTTGGTGACCAGCCTACCAGAGTGCTGGGATAGGTGTCCAGAAGGAGAAAAATAGAACACTCATCACTTCTCTGATTTTCTTTTTCCTGTTCTCCTTTTCAAACTTCATGTCTTCCAAAACACAGAGATGTGGGCTGGGGACTTCAGCAGTCCAAGTTAGAGCCCCATAGGGACTTATATGCTGCTCTGAATTGCTTGTTATGTTCTCTCACTGGGGTGTGTACTACCCATGGCACCTCCTACCCAGATTCCTGCATTGCTACTTTCCTAACTTGAAGTTTGTTTTCTACTTAACAGAGGTTGTTTTAGTATCTCTGAGTGAGGGCCTTGCCATATAAGTGTAGGTTTGAGGAGGTGTGCAGATTTTTTTTTCAGCAAGCTCACTTGTTTCCTGTGTTTAATAGTTTGTAGTAGTGTAGTTTTTGTAGAAAGTCTGTATAGACACTAAGTGCTAATATCCTAAGTGGAGTTTTGTTAAATGTGGCTTCTACACTCATTCTTTTGTTGTCTTTTCTTTTTTTGGTGTTGGATATCGAACCCAGGGCCTCGCACATACTAGTCAAGTGCTCTACCACTGGGCTACATCCCAGCCCTCTGCTCATTCTTAGAGTTATTAAGTGGATGATTACAGTTAGTCTTAATTATTTTATATATTTTTAAATGGTGTAAATAAAATAGACTCATAGTTCAGGAAAGTTAATATTTTTTAGTTTTTCCTTTGAATTCAGATTCAGACACTAAAGATATGTCATAATATCTTAGGACAAAGGTTGGGGAAAACAAACACAATTTGTATTTAAACATGGAGGACGTAAGGAAAGTGGAGGCTATTGCGAAATGTAACATGTCTGTAAAAAAAGAAGCTAAAGGAAAGTTTGGCAGCTATGCTAAGTAGTCTTACCAGTTTGTTCTTAATTTTGTACAGAAAAGGGACAGGACTTTGCCGTTTGTTTAATAGTTATGTATCATTTAATAATGAATTAGACTAATACAATAAAAATTTATTTGCTATTGCATAGATTTTTCTTTTATATTCCTCCTCTTCTTCTTTGCCATGCTGAGATCAAACCCAGGACCTTGCACATGTTAGGCAGGAGAAATGTAGCTTAACCACTGAGCTACATCCCAGCTGCTGCTTTTACTTTTGGGAATTTACTTTTGAGAATTATGTTTGAAATACCAGTAAAGGTAATATATGAAGAAAAACCAGAGTATGTAATTTTGTGTTAACCTTTGGTTTCTAGCAGCCACTTGAAGCTTTTCTTCCTGGCCAGGAAGTTGCACTTACAGCACACTGAGACCAATTAATTACTGACCCTCAGCATTAACTACTGAGTTGGGTTCCAGTATTTCAATACCATTGCTGTTGGGCATTCAGAACCCTTTCACAGTTTGCCTGGCAGCAGCACACACGCAAAAATACCCAATGAGAGAACAAAGTCCTTTGTTTTTGTCTCTCAGTCTAGAATTTATGATGACGTAAATCTTCCAGGCTCAATTTTATAATGGCTTTAACTTGAACACTATTAAGTGTAAGATTTTTTTTTTTCTCACTAGTGTTCCCACCTAGCAGAAAGCTAGACAGTGATAACACCGGTCATCTTACAACTTATCAAAGTTTACACCTTGTGGTAGTTTTACTGATACAATTTTTAAATGCCTTTGTTTACCATGACTTTAAAATGTTAATAGCTACTGTTACCATATCATACTGTTCTCTTTCCTTACTTCTAACCCAAAATGAAAATTGTTTTTCAGCGAACTCTTAAGCTACTACTTTGCCTCAAGTAAAGTCCCTGACTCTGCTTGAACATAGCTGCTTTGCAGTTCTCAAAAGTTACTGTTTTGTGCATGTTAAGATTGAAATTTTTTTGAGTGCTGGTGGCTCACACCTGTAATCCTAGCTACTCAGGAGACAAAGATCAGGAGGACTGCAGTTCGGAGCCAGCCCTGGGCAAATAACTTGTGTGACCCTATCTCAAAAACCCATCCCCCCAAAAGAAGGGCTGGCGGAGTGAGTGGCTCAGGTAGTAAGAGTGCCTGCCAAGCAGTTAAGCAGTTGTGAGGCCCTGAGTTCAAACTTCAGTGTAACCAAAAAAAAAAAAAAAAAAAGACTGAAATTTTCCTAAACTGCCGTGGGAAGGAGTCTCTGATAAGGAGGAGCCTTCTTGCAAGGAAGTTTCAGGTGGAACAGATTGCACTGCCATGTAAGTGTTTTCTTCTTAGGATAGGCTGATATATAATTATCCCCCATCGCTTGATAAAGGTACTACAGTTAAGGTGTAGATATTGTTTCTTTGAGAAAAAAAATGCAGCATTTATTTAAAAAAAAAATTGTTAATTTCTGTTGCTGGTTTCTCCGAAAATGTTTCTGTGATTTTGGAGTTCTTGAGGAAGTCCTCTATCACTTTAAAAACATGTCAAAGAAAACAATTTTTAAGCTTCTCTGACACTGCCTTTGGACAGAGTTGAGATTGGGTGTATTTGTCATATCCTATTTGGAATCCTTGATGGATGATCTTAACTTTCAAATGGATGTGAGGAAGAGGTCTCTATTCACAGATACATTGTTTCATTATTGGAGTTCTACTTTTTGTAACATTCTTTACATTGTGTTAAAGGTCTTTAGTTCTGTCCTCTGATGCCATAAAATAAAACTAAGTCTTTGTCAATATGATAGACTTAATACTTACCTAGCGGGGGAGATACCATGATACCAAGGAGGTTTTCCCAGGGAGAGGCTTATCCATTGCACTCCAGATGTGCTGACCCCAGTGATTTCTCCAAATGTGGGAAACTCGACTGCATAATTTGTGGTAGCAGGGGACTGTGTTCATGCTCTCTCCTTCAAAAAAAAAAAGAAAAAAAAATGATGGATTTAAAATGTTTGACATTTATATACCTTCAAGACATCTCTTTCTGGCTGGGTGCCAGTGGCTCATGCCTATAATCCTAGCTAGCTACTTAGAAGGCTTTGATCAGGAGGATCGTAGTTTGAGGCCAGATGGGGCAAATAAATAGTTGGAGACCTCATCTACAAAATAACCGGAACAGGATGGACTGGAGGTGTAGCTGAAGTGGTAGAGTGCCTGCTTTGTAAGCAAATGAGAAGCCCTGAGTTCAAATACCAGTGTCTTCCCTCTCCTCCCATCCAAAAAAAAAGGAGACATCTCTTTTCTGGGTAAATATCCCAAGTTCTTTCAGCAATTCTTTAAATGACTGGTTTTTTTGTTTTTTTTTTTTTCAGGATTAGGGTTTGAACTCAGGGCCCAGGCTTGCTAGGCAGGTGCTCTTACCTCTTGAGCCATTCTGCCAGCCCTTTTTTGTGATGGATTTTTTCAAAATGGGTCTCATGAACTATTTCCCAGTTTGATCCATCTGATTTCTGCCTTGTGAATAGCTAGGATTATAGGCATGATCCACTGGCACCCAGTGTACATGACATTTTAAATAAAGTTCAGGTTCTTCTTAGTTGCCAGGTTTTAGGATTCCTTATGCGGTTCTGAATAATCTGAATATAACACTTCAGATACCATCAGATCAGTACAAAATAGGGGTGGGAGAACATAGCTTCTTTTTTTAACTTTACTCTATATCTTAATAAGGTCACATTAATTTGTTTAGTCAGTTTTTTTTATTTGGTGGTACTGGGGTTTGAACTCAAGAGCTCATGCTTTCTTGGCAGGTGTTCTACTGCTTGAGGCACTTGGCCAGCCCAAGTTTAGTTGATTTTTTAAAATATAATTGAGAACTTTACATTTATCCCTACAATTATTAACCTATTAGTTTTGGCTTATTATTTTAGCTTGATAGTGTTTTTTAGCTCATGTCTTTATATGATTGATAAATTTGATAGATATGATGCCTTTGTTTTCATTTTAAGTCACTGGTAAAAATATATAAGGATAGGGCAATACTGTATATTATTAGTAAACTATGATTGTGTTAACATTAACTCTTTGGGTAAAATTCAGTTACGAATCCCACTTGCTATTTTTTTTTTTTAATCATCTAACCTTTATTTTCCGTGAAGTATCAACAGTTATCCTGTTGAAATTCAAATGTACTCATATTCAGTCTCTTATAAAGACTACCTCCTAGGCTAGTGACCCTCTGTCCAAAAAAAAAAAAAAAAAAAAAAAGAAAGAA